GAGGTTTGTGACAGAGAGGAGAGGAATGGAGGAATGGACAGACAGGGGAATCTAACATTTTCTGTACTATCAGGTGTAATTATGCATTGATTAGTTTTGCTAAACTGCCTTTTTGTCTTTCCTTTTTAGAGTGTGAGCTCCTTGAAAGCAGGAACTGTGGGGTATTTTTCTTTCTTTGTATCACTAACATTTGCACAATGCCTGGAAAATAGTAATTGCTTAAGAAATGCTTGCTGACTGACCTTCCCCCCTCTTCTTCCTGGGAATGGTCCACAGTTTAGGGGAAGGTAGAGGGAAGGATATATTTAGAAATGAAGATGATACAAAACCAAAAGATATCAAAGAAAATTTAAAATTTTTTTCAAAAGGCCTGGTTCAGAATCATTCACTTCTTCCAGCATCTGCAACCATTACCTGATTCACCAAAACTCAAGCCTCATAATTTCTCACTCTCTTAGAACTGCATTCATTCACTCTTGTTTGTGATGCTTTTTATGAGTGTCCTATGTTTCCTATCAGATGGTAAGGTTCTTGGGATCATGAACCAACTTTCCTATTACTTTTGTATCCCTTGGCAGCCCTTGGGACAGTCTTCTGTGCATAGGAGAAATTCAACGTGCAGAGAGAGTCTGATGAGAGAAGATGCTCTTACAGAGCTTCCTGGGACACTCACATTGGTAGCTTCTTGGACCAGCCTCTGTTCATTGTACAATATGTGCCGGATGCATCGGACCAACTCCATGGGGCAGCGGTCATAAGTGCTCTGAAAGAATCAAACACCAAATGAACCTTCCCACTACCTCTGAAGACTCCCATCCATGGTCTTCTGTTCCAACTATATGCGTTTCTCCAAACCAATAACTTTTTTAAAAAAAAATTTCTCACTGTGTCATTCTCCTTTATTTCAGAATACCATCTCTCTTTCTTTCAACTAACCTGTAGCTTTTGCCTCCTTCAAACCCAAAGCAGTATTTACTTCTTCCAGAATGTCCTCATGGATTATCTTCATCTGATTCAATATTTATTGAGGAAAGGGAGAAAGGAAGGGAGGGAGGGAGAAAAGAAGGGAGAGAGGAATGGATTTCTCTTTAACTCTGCATCCCTTTAACACTGGTGCATTTAGTTTACACCATGAGCCTTTGGACTTATAGATAAATATAGATATAGATATGTATATTATATATAGAGAGAGATATGGAAGATCTCTCTATATACATTTTCTTTCAAAAACAACAAACATTTATGAAGCACTTGGAAGATATTGTGTTGAGCTTTCCTTAGCATAATTATCATAAGTAATCCTTCCCTTGTGCCTCATTGTTCATGTCTAGGACATACTTGGCACAGCGGGTCATCTCTATTAACACTTAACCTCTTTTGAATTAAATGCTATCCCTTTCCCTTCAACCTTAACACTCCAGGATCCTGTTTTCAGTAGGGATGTACCTCCACATTTTACGTCTCGTCTGTCCTCTTATCTTCTGATTAGAGGATAGATTAACCGTGCTCCGGATGGGAATCTTATATTTAAACGATACTCTAGTAAATGATCTTGCCACTTCCTTTTCCCTGCTATTCCATAATCTGGTAATCTTTTTTCTCCTTGAGATTGGTAGCCTTGACTGTGTTCTAATCTTTAGTCTTCTCACTATGATAAACTCTCACAGTCTCTTGTCTTTGACACTATTTCATTTATCATTCCCCCTTCAGACAATACTCCTCTACCTTGTAACATAAGAAAAACAAGTCTAGGATACAAGTTACAAAGAAGAGGTGGGAGGGAATAAATGGAAACACAGGAAAGTTTAGCAGTTGGCTCAAGGTCACATAGTTTGCAAGGCCAGGATTTGAGCCCAAATGTTTTGATGCTAGGAAGAAGAAAGGGGAACATAACGTACCAGGAAGATGGCTCCAGATTTCACACCCACCTGCAGCTGAGTTGCATAATGCCCTAACTTGATCTTCAGTAAAAACCCATCTTCCCCCACTTGGTGTTCAGCCTTCTTCTGCAGTTCTTGGATCAGGCCCTCTAGAAGCTGGGCAGCTTGGACACTGTCCTGGGGATTGTCCAGGTCAATGGAATTCCTAGAGTGGAAAGAGAAGTGGAAGGAGGGCAATGGACCATGGGTGCCATTTCACCTGGAGAGAAAGTGGAGGACTTGACGGTAAATGAAATTCTAGGTGAGCTCCCATAAATTAAAGGTTCTGCTCTGGTCTTCTTAGAGCCCATAGAATTCATTCTCAGAATTCATTCACACTCAGCGTGAATCAGAAATGAGAAAAACTCCCACTACCCTTCCTGCTCCCTCTTCCCCTTTCCTAGGGACACCACCCTTTCCTCTAACAGTCACAGGGCAGGGACAAAGAGAGAGGGGCAGAAAACCTGAGAGAGATAGACAGTAAAGCCATTAAGACAGGGAAAGATGGAGAGGCAAACACACCACAAATATGAACAAAGCCCAGGCCAAAAAGGTGGGGGTGGGGAGAAACAGCAAGCCACAAAGAAAGAGAATGGGAAGATACCAAGTCAGACAAACCACACACATAAAATAAGTCACTGCTAGAGAGAGTTTAAGCCAGAAACTGAAAAAGCCATGACCAATGCCTGGGATGACCATCTGAAAAACAGAAAGACTCCTGTCCTTCTATATCTTCCCCAATGGAAAAGAGTTCTTGATGCATGTACTTACCAGGCCTGGCTTTCAATCCACTGAGCCAAGTAGTGGCGGACTTCGATGGGGAAGTGCTGTCCATAGAGGACCTGCATCTGGCGGAGAGCATCCCCTTGAAGTTTTTGTGCCTGGATCCAGCCTGCCATGACTTTGCACCTGAAGGAGGAGATGAAAGAGAGGGTAATTGGATTCAATTTAATTCAATAACAAACATTTCTTAAGCTACTTTGTATCTGGGGATTCAAAGAAAAAGATGAGAGTGAGAGAGCAGAAGCCGGGACAAAGGCCAAGCAAGGGACCAGGAGAGGGGCTTGCCATTCTCATTTTCGTTCCTATCCACCTACTCCTACCTACATAGAGAGGGTACTTGGCCCTCTCCCTTCTACCAATACCTTCTTACTTCTTACTTGGTGTGATGGGAAGAGCACTTATTCAGATACCAGGACTTGGGTTAAAATTCCAGCTCGCCTACTTACTATATAACTTTAGGCATGCCACTTCCCCTCTCTAGACCTGTGTTTCCTTTTCTGTATTATGAGGAGGTTAGACTAGATACTCTCCAAAGCCCTTTCCAGCTCTAAATCTTATGATACTAAGATTCTATAATTTTGGGGGGGGGTCGAGGGGGGGAGGTGAGAAGTGGGCATGTGAGAGGAAAGCCAAGCATCTCCCAGTGCCTGGAGCTGGAATGAAGGATGGTGCTAGATTCCAAGGATTAGATGGCTAGGTTTCTCCTCCCCACCCCTTTCCCTACACCCCCAAACCGGGGCTTCCCCAAAGTCAGTAGTGCTAGAAACAGAAAGGGAAACCAGGTGGCTGAACCCCAGGAGTCCCCAGCTGGGGAGGGGTGGGACAGTCCCCCTAAGGCCCAACGTGGGTAGGGATATTCCAATGGAGAGCCCCCTCCCCAGCCCAGTGTCCCCCTCCCTGCTAGGAGATGATCCCACGTGGCTGGAGATAAGAGAAACCGGAGGTGAGCTGCAGCTCTCCTCCAAATCTTCTCGAACCCATCCTGGGCATCGCTCTCTCCTCAGTGGCAGAGAGACGTGCCATTCCCGTGTTTCTTCCTTCTCGAGACGCTGTCTCCTTCTCCGAACGACGCAAAGTCTCCAAGCCTCTGGATCAGTTTTCGGGACCCCAAGCAGCCTGACTGGAGCCCTGAGATGCCCCGGCGCCGGAAGACGAAACGAGCGCCCCCTTGCTTTCTTTTCAGCAACCGCGAGGGCCCTCTTCAACAGGCCAGCCGAACACCCCTCCTTGCCCCAGGCCAGACCCGCTCCGTGCGCTCTGGACGCATTAGCCAACCACCCTCACCTCCGGGCCCCCAGCAGCGGACCGCGGCTCTCCGCGCCCGGGCTCTCCTCTCCTGGGCCGGCGGCAACAGCTGCGGCTGAAGCTGCTACTACAGGAAGGAGCAGAGAGCAGCGATTTCCTCCTCAAAGGTCAGCTGCCTCCAACAGACCAAACACAGAGCGCAAAGCTCTCGCCAGCTCCCCTCCCTGCTTCCCTCCCTCCTTAGCTCGCTTACTCTCCGGCTAGGGCGAAGCGGCTGCTGTTACCACCGGCTCTGTAGCGTGGGCCTTCTCTGCGCCCTCGCCCAACGAAGTCCAGGCGGGGCGGGGATATAGGGGCTGTCCCACCAACCGTGCCACCCCCCAAGGTCCCAACTCAAGTGCCCTGGCGTCTCCCGTGGGAGTGTCCCGGAGGGGGTGGGTGGTAGACGCAGCGACAAAAATGCCGAAAGGAGTGACCTGGGGAAAGTGGGGAATCCCAGAGTAGCCGCCCTAGGGAGCCACAGGAGGCCTCATACTCTGAGAGTTCCAAATAAGTGCGTGGGGACTTCACCCACCGTCCCCTAAGGGCAGAGCTACACTATAGGGAAGGTGTGGGGACGACAGAGGAACACTAATTATCCCCTACGCACACCCAAGTAATCAGGATATCTACCGCCCGTGTACAGGATTGTCTGCTTGTTCCAGTAAATAGCTGTGCTGCCTTCCCCTAGCAATCAAAAGACAACTCTGTCAAAACCTCGGCAGGGTTCTGAAAGCAGACTCCTGATTGAAAAGCCTTGCTGTTTCAAGTAACAAATAGCTGGTGAATCCTCCACCCTCTCACCAGACACTGCTATCCCCTCCTCCAGCCTTGAGTTCGACGCCTCTATTTTGGATTCTGTTGGGTAAGGTCAACCTGGACAGCTTCCATTCCCTTTGCCCAGCTTCTCTTCTCTTTTCAGACCTCCCTTTTCTCTGGCCGGTGTCCGGCCACTGGGCATTGGCAGGACCAAAGGGAGGAGCAGCTACTGCCCACCCCAACCCTTGGCTTGGCTGAGGTTTTGGGCCATCCTGGGGTAACCATTCACTTCTGCCTCGCTCTCTTATTTCTCTCTCTGCCCTTTTCTCCCTTTCTTATCATCCTTTGCCTGTTACCCCATTCTTTTTCTTTCTGTCTCTGTCTCTACCTCGTGCTATCTATCTCTGTCTCTCCCTCCCCTTTCATTCTCTTCATGTCAGAAGAAAAGTTTTAAGTGTCAGCAGAAGTCATGATGCATGTTCATATTTTTCCTCCCTTTGCCTCCTCCTCCTAACCACCCTCTACCTCCACTCCCTTGGCCTAGATCTCTTAGTTGGTGAGATTAATGAGGAAAAGGATTTAAAGTGAAAAGCACAGTGAAAAGAGCATTGGACTTGGAGGTGACCTGGGTACGATTTCTAGCTTGGACACTTCCTAACTGGGTGACTGTGAGGAAGCCACTTAACTACTTTGAGCCTCAATTTTCTTGTCTGTAAAATAGGGATAATAAAACTTATACAATCTACCTAACAGGACTGTTGGTGTAAGGATGGAATTTTGTAAACGTCATGTGTACTATAATTGTGAGTTACTATTAAAATAGAGATGTGTACCCCTCTGTGGGGTTGCATACATGGTGTGGAAGGGAGAGGACAAGAGAATCAAAGCAATTACTACTCCCACACTCATACCCCACAGAGGATCCCTAAGGAAAGAGAGTTTGCAGTCCCTCCTTGACTTGGAGTTAATGAGAGGCACACAAGGCCCCCTCTTTATTCTCCAAGACCTCTCACTGCCCAGGCCTGATGAAGTGGAGTATTAGTAAGCAGCTTTGTCCCCTCCACACTAGACTTAGATGCACAGGGTAAGCCCACAAAAGTCAGATTACTCCCTTGTGAGCCTTATTCTCTCTAAATAGAATCCTGAGGATCTTGGGATGGGGAGTGGAGGGTGGGGAGAGGAGAGATCCCTCCGCTTCAATTCCCATCTATTTCTTTTAACTTTCATATTCTGCATTCCAAAGTACTGGCTCCCTTTTTGAGATGTCTCCCACCCACAAGCAAGTGTGTAGTAATGGGGAGGAATCTCCAGTGTCCCTCAGGGTTCTTGTTTCTGGGGCTATTGGGCCCTCTCCTTCCCTCCCTGATATTCAGCCTCTTCTCCTTTCTTACCCCACCTCCAGGAGTATTCTGCTCCTGGCCTCTTCCCAAACCACTGCCCCAGTTTACAGTCCCATCCATCATGGAACATTCGGGTGGGAAGGGAGGAAGTCCTGGGTTCCAGAAAGCTGGCACCAAGCTGACAACAAGCAAAAGAGGCTGGCCTTTGGCAGTTGTCTGAACCAAATTCCCCTCTGAGTTTCCTCCCCTCCCTTTCTTGTGCCTCCCCTTTCTTCTCCTCCACCTCCCCCACTCTCACCCTCTACCCCAGCTCCCCAGTCTGGATCTGGGACTGAGACTATTTTTGTGTCCAAAGACAGAAAATTATTCCCCAAGCCTTCACACCGTCTTAGTTTCTCCTGAATCTGTTACCATTTGCTCTCTTTTTCTGTTTCTCTGTCTCGACCTGTTCATCTCTCTGTATTACTGTCTCAGTCTGTTTCTCTGTCTCTCCCTATCATCACCTTTGACTCTCTGCTCTGACTTCTGGGAAAGGGGGAAGTTCCCAGGGATGGGGGCAGAATGACAGAGGCTCCCCAGGGAGGGCAAGAGGCTAGGTGAGAGTAGACAACCATGGAGGGGAGTGGTAAGAGTAAGGTTAGAGAGAAGAGGTATATGCTTAGCACAATTAGTTAATTGGAGGTAATTTTCAGCACTTAGCACAGTGTCTAGCACAGTAGCAGGTGCTTAATAAATGTTCATTGACTAATTTGCAAGATGGGGGCTAACAACATGAGACTTGGGATTCTCATTCTTCATCACCTGAAGAATCTGAGATTTTCATCTTTCTGTTTTCCATTTCCAGGTCCTAGTCTGGGATCTCTACCACTTCCCATTGCAAAACACTTTGGTTGGATTGGGTTACCTAGGGGTCAAGCTACAGAAGAATAAAGGGGAGTTTAGGGATGAGGGAGGACTGGGATTGCCCAGGACTAATACCTATTCCCTACATCAAAAGCCTTTAGGACCCCACAGCTAAGGCTTTACCCAAATAGCCATAGGTAGTTGATAAGGCATAGATAACCAGAGGGCCAGCTGAAGAAATAAGTGGCACAGAGCTCCAGCCTTGGAGGCAGGGAGATATGATTTAGAATCTTTCATCAGACACTTACTAGCTGTGTGACTTTGGGTAAGTCACTTAACTGCTTTCAGCCTCAGATTCCCTATTGGCAAAAATGGGGATAATAACAGCGTCTACTTCATAGAGTCGTTGTGAGGATCGAATAGGATAAAACTGATGACTTGCTTTGCACACTTTAAAGTGCTACATCATTATCATCTTTATCATCATCATCATCACCTTTACCATCATCATTATTATCCCTTTACTTGAATAATCCAAATCATAGACCCATTTTATCATAGATTTAAAGCTGGAAAGGACCATAGAGGCCATCTAATCTAATTTTAAGGCTGAGGAGACTGAGGGCCAGATAGATGAAGTCATTTACCCAGAGCCCTACAGGTATTGTTCTGGAACCAGGCACTTGGACTCCAAATCCAGCACACTTTCTACTGTCTCACAGTATAATGCTGTCCATTCCTGGTCTGTTCCAACCTTCATACTGCTTTCCCCTTCACCCCCAATTCACTAATCACCCCTATATACACTCCTACCATGTAAACACTGGACAGGTTTGCTGGCAAAGTGTCAAATGGAGACAATGGCCTGAATAATCCTGGTATAGGTGTATTTTTTGGCAAGGGGGGAGTATCATGGAAAGGAATTATGACCCCAAGTGTCCCCTCCATTCTTCCTCTGGCTGAGTTGGAGTAGAGTAGGTAGTTGAAGAGTGAGTGGCACAGACTAGTGTGTGGTAAGGCTGGGACACCAGGAAAGAAGGTGCTAAATCCCCTCAAGGAAAACAGATTAAGGTCACAGTGACCTGACTGGCCCTAAGGTGAGGAGGAGGTGGAGGTACAGAACCACCTTTGTTTTCTCTATTCTGAATCTCTTCTTCAAGGAGAGTTCCTAGTGGGTGGGGAGCCAAAGAGAGAGATGCATTGTGAGGGGGCTTCACCAGAAATCTGGGGCTGTTCTGGGAAGCTGCTCTGTGCTGTGGCAGAGAGAACCAAAGCCCCAGGGCTAACAAACATCCTGTTTCTGCCTCCTCCCCCACTTTTCTCCCTCCTCCCCTGCTCCATGGACTCCAGAGGGACCCAAGAGAGGTGACAAGTAGCTCTGGCATTGAGACCAGTTTCCCTGTCTAATGGAGACCAATATAACTGTCCCCTCCCCCATGTTTTCCTGTGAAGATGCAGAGACAGCTCTCTGAGCCTGGAGAGGGGTGGAGGTGGAGAGCAAGAGGGAGGTATATTGGAGAATTCTGATGAACTGGAGGCTACCAAGTTAGAGGGGGTCGGGACCTATAAATAGAGAATTATCTTCCCCCACCCCCTGCCACCTTAAAGCAGACTTTCAGAGTGCAGGACCCTTTTCTTTCTCCCTCCTCCCCCTGCCCTTCAGAAAAGTCAATTTACTGTGAAGTCACCCTGGGAAAAGGAGTCCATCCTGCCCTAGGCATATTGTCTGTCCCTGATATTTCTGGGAATATATGGGGGGGAGGGGAATACAGGATTGAGCAAGGTGGGAAGGTGAAGCCCTGGTGAGAGAAAGGGAGATAGATATAAGTCATGAGTCTTCTGCCACCATTTGCCCAGAACCCTGACTGCTAGAAGCATAGTACAACCCAGCTCAAAGAGAGAGGGGTGTTGATGGATCTGTACGAGCTTCTCAGACTTCCATGAGGTGAAGGGTCAAGCCAGACCTTTGGGCATCACCCTGATTCAAGGGAGGGAGGGTGTTTGGGGGGGAGAGGAAGAAGGGGTCCAGGACAGATAAGGGAGGGGTAGAAAAGTTTAGAGTGGGGAGTGAGGGGCTGTTCTGGTTTCCCTTAGGACCTGCTCTATTATCTCCCCCCACCCCAACTGCTTCCCCTCCCCCGGTTTCTCCTTCTAGTCCAACAGGAAACCTTTTGTGCTTTATTCAGCCCAATACCAGATCTCAAAGCCCTCTGGGGGAGTAGGGGTGTGTACATCTCCCTCTCCTCCTTCCCTCTCTCCCTCCCTCCTGTGGTCTGTCAGCCATCTAAACTGCTTTCCCACTTTGTTATGGCTGGAGGGGGTTCCTCTCCCTCTGTCCCTCTGTTTCTTATTGTTCCCCAGTTTCACAAGAGCTCAAACACACCCATTTCCTTTCCCCCTCCCCCATCAAACAAAGGGCACCCAGATCCTGGAAGATGTGGGGGAAGTGTCCTTGGTAGAGTTGGAGTAGATACCTTGGTAGGTCCGATACTGCTTTGCTTCTTTCTTGTTCTACCATCTCCAACCCTCTGGTCTACCAGACACTTCATCTCCTTTTTTTCTGAAGTTATATCCAGGCGTGGGCCATTCTCTCTACTTTATTGAAATTTGCCTGTTTACTCATTTCATAAACATCCCCACAAAGTTATCCAGCTCAGGTACCCACCCTGGTATCTTTCTATCCCCTTGCAGACCATGTCCCATCTCATACCACAGTGCTCAACCATTCAGATCCTGGGTCCTTCGGCTCTAGCCTCTGTCCATTTTAATCTCACTGGCAGACTCTTGTACACCCCTGTAAGCAGCCAACTCTTTGTCTGGTGCTGAGCTGCCTTTTGAGTTCTCAACCAGACCAGCAATCCAAACAGATATCTAGGCTGGGCTGGCACCATACCCCCTCCGTTATACAGGCCCCACCCTCCCTGAATGATGTGCCATTGCTCCAGGGTTACAGGTTGGAAGGGCAGGGTGACCCTGTCCCAGAATTCAGCTTGTCATGGGCTCTCAGGCCTCTCTGGAGAACCACCCCCATAAGTAGCTGGAAGGGAGCCCAGGCAGGTGAAGATCTCTTGGAGGAAGAGGATGTAAGGGGCCACCCTACACTGGTCTGCCCTAGAAGAGTGATCTTGAGGCTGGTTGGGGCATCTCCTGCCTGGGAATTCCTGCAGGGACCTGTCTTCTATGTACCCTAGAAACCCAGCCCTACCTCGGTGCATCTGGCTCCCAAAGTGATGATTAGGGTTAGATCGAATGTGAGACATGATTTAACCCTACAGAGGAGTTGTTGCTCCCAAATATAGATGCAAAGAAGAGTTATCAAAGTGAAGGCTCCTGGAAACCTGTTATCTCCTTCTTCCTACTGGTAGCAAATCCTCTCTTCTTAGCTCTATGGGCCTGTACTGGCTTAGCAGGGAGTAGCTTTCAACCATATGGATGGCATGGTCCTCAATTCCCTGAAGCTGAAGAGCCCTTCCTTGATCTATGTGTGGTCTCTTCCTCCCACCTCACCACCCCCCTTCCCTGCCCCTGACAGTGCTTAGAGGGGGACCTAGTCCCTAGAGTTCAGATAGAAATTGGTAGTCTGGGGTCTTGGGAGGCAGTATGAGCTAAAAACTCTGTTCCACAGGGTTCTGGTTTCTACTTAATTACTTTCCCAGAAAATGGTCTCATGGTCTTATTTGTATCTAGGCAGGGATTATGAGGGAAATAGAAGTAGGGGGTGGATGCTCTCTGCAATATCCCCATTTATTCCTGAATAGAAGGCTGGTGATCATTAGGCTGGGGGTGGTGAGATGAGATGAGAGTAAAACACAGACAAGGCTGCAAAATGGATTTCTGCTCCCTTCCCCCAGAAGCCTTTCCTTCACTCAGGTTTTCTGGATGTGTGTGTGTGTTTGGGGGGAGGGTGTGATATAATATATCCCTCTATGGTGGTCTCTCTAATTGTAGAACCAGAACCCAGGACCCTCTGGGTTCTGCAATCTTTTTTGATCCATAAAACCATTTGGTTAGGATTTTCTGAGACTGGAACCAGCTTACTCTCTGACTTTTTCTCAGTTCAGGGGGTACTTCTGTGGGATCTCTTTTACTCTGAGTCCTTTCTGATCCCAAATAGTCTCTAGGTGAAGAATGGCTGGAGTTCCTCCTTGGACCTAGGTTGACTGACATTACTTGGTGAGGGAGTCAGTCATCTAGAACATTTGGTCTTTAACATCTGTACACACATCTACCCAGGAACAGCTGGGGCCTTGCAGTCAGAGCTAAAGGAAGAAGGAATAAAAATAAAGAGTAGAGGGGTTAAGAAGCTTTCTGCTTGCCCCATTCTCCATCAGTACTATTTAGGTAACATTCCATTGACTTAGGGAGATAGGTAGAAAGGGCAAAGTGACCTTGTGTCAGCCCAAACCTGAGTCTAGAGGTAGGGAAAGAAGGAATGCCCTCAGCGGAGCCAGTAAGGCTTCCATTGCCCCTTAACCTATTGCTTACTTGCCATCCCTTTTCATCTCCATACCTACCCACAGAATAGGGCCAAACAAATTATGGATAGGTGATTCTCAGGGGAGTGATGCCAGCAACCTAAGCAAAAACTTTAGCTCTCTCCCCTAATCATTCTGTCACCTCTGCCCCTCTTTTTCTATTCAATTCATTTTTTAAATTGAGTGAAGAGTCTTGCTAGGTGCTGATAAGGAATGAGGGGATAGGGACTAGAAACTTCTAATGGAGAGAAGGAACTTTAGGATCACTCAGCAGAACTACTCCTCACAGACCTGTTAAAAAATTTTTTTGGGGGGAAGGAATGGGTGAAGATGGGAAACAATTAAGCCTGACTGGAATTATTGGAGTAACTAAGGATGGATTGGGGGATTTCCAGATGGTGGTCACCTCTGGACAAAATAATCTAGATCTGGACACTTATGTGGAAGACTGGAAAGGGGGGTACAGAGGTTTAGAGCATGGAGGGAAAAGGTAGAGGGTGGGGCTCCTCGTCCGTCACCCTGTCCCCCAGTAAGGCTGGGTTCTCCAAGGTCTGAGAGAACTGTGTACAGTGCTAGCCTCTGGAAGGTTGCCAGGGAAACCGCTCCCCAGCTCCAGAGATGTGGCCTCTGTTGCTCTGTAGTTGGGGATGGGAGTGGGGGTGGGGAGAATGTATGCTTGGCTCCTCCTCTCAGCGCCACCCCCTTGTAAAGACCTTCTCTCCTATGCATGGTCATTTGAAAAAGTTAGGGACAGAGAACTCAGATCTTTTTTTTTAAATCCTGCTCTCCACCCCCACCCCTTTTTCCTGAACCCCGCTGGGTCCTACACACTCATCCAGTCCATTTTCCCTTAGTTCCCATCGATGGGGTCCCTTCATTTCAGAAAGTTCTCTGGGGAAGAAAACGCCTCCCCTCCCTCTCTGCCTCTCCGTGACCCCCTCACTCCTTCCTCCAGTTTCGGTGTCTTCTACCCCTAGCTGTAATTCAGTCTGACTGGCAGCGGGGACAACTGTCCACGCAAGCTCTCCGCTCCGAGTGGGAAGCTGCCAAGAAGGCCTCGTTCGGAGCCCTGGGTGGGTCGCCCTGGGGAGCAAAGCCGGGATAATTATTGATCAGGTGAGCTGCGGACTTCTGACCCTGGCTTGAGGGAAAGGACCAGGGGACAGGAGAAGCACTGAGCACCCGGCCTAGGGCTAAGGGGAAGGGAGGTGGGTAGGGCACAGAGCCAACACTACGACAACCACCCGGGAGGGCGGATCACGGGTGGAGCGGGGTGGGGGGAGTCCGACCTCCCAAAACAAACCCGCATGTCATCATTCCAAGCCCCGGACCTTGGAGGGGGGTCTGGGTAGGGTACGAGAGTGACCCTACGGTAGCCGCCCCGCGGGTGGCACCGCACAGATCTTGCAATAACAAGGCAGGATGGTTCGCGGGGGGACGGGGGGTGGAAGCAGAGGGTGGCTGGGGCCCCCCGAGGGTGGCTGGAGGAGCGCGGGCGCGGGGCGGAACCAGGAAACGGCGCGCGCCGCCCGGTGTTGTGGCGGGGGGCGGAGCGGTTGGTAAGTGTGTGTGTTTGTGTGTGTGTGTGTGTAATAGTGTGTGAGTGTGTGTGTGTGTGTGTGTGTGTGTGTGTGAGAGAGAGAGAGAGAGAGCTGAGGGGGGGCAGCCGCGGCGCGCTCGCGGCGGGGTCTGGGGCCCGGGCACGCGCCGGGGGCGGCCGCGGTCTCGGGTAGGGGAGGAGCTGGAAGGAGGCGAGGCGGGGGAAGCGCCGGGATCGGGCTCGCGCGTGCGCGTCCCCGCGAGCCCCTGGCGGGAGGAGAGCGTAGCCCAGGGCCGGACCCCCGAGCTCCGGATCCCGCCGAGCTCGGAGCCGTCACCCCGGGGTGGGGACGGAGCCGAGGGACTGTTCGCGGCGGCGGCATTCGGAAGGTGGGAGCGGCGCCCGACGAGGCGAGGTAGGAGCCCAGCCTGAGAAGAAGCGAGCGGGCGGGGCGGCCCCCAGCCCCGGGTCGCCTCGCCTCGCCTCGCCTCGCCCTGGGGTCCAACAGGCGCTGCTGCCTCCGCGTCTAGTAGGGTCCCAGCGGGGGCTCCGAGGCCAGGCGTGCAGGGGCTGGAAACCGGTGCGGGAGCGAGCTGAGGTCTGTGGGGAAGGGGGCAGCGCGTGCAGAGACGCAGGGGCTACAGGCGGGGAGGGGGGGAGAGCAGACGGGGGGGGAGGGCTGCGCCTCTTCCCCCCGCCCTCCCCAGCGCCCTCCACGTTGTTTGCAAGGTCCGTCCAGTCCCTGCTGCCACCCTCCTCCTGATCCTGAACAGACACAGCTGTCTGTGTATGTGAGTCCGCTGAAGAATGAGAGAGAGACAGAGAGTGTGTGTGTGTGTGTGTGTGTGTGTGTGTGTGTGTGT